AGGGTACCTTGATCACCCAAGTTACTCCGGAGGGTCTCCCTAAACTTACTAAGGAGGGTCAACGAGAGGCTTAATACGCTCCGGAGGGTTACTTCGGAGGGTTCCTTCAAAATTCCAAATTTTTCGAATATCACTTGGAAGGGTCTCCAAGTAGTCTCAGAAGGTGTCAAAACAAGCTAAGTTCTCTGAGGGGGGTTGTTTTAGTTTCTTCGGAGGGTCTCGTGGAAAATTTCCATTAAGGAGGTTTGCTAAGGAGCTTAGCCGACTGCGGAGGGCGGTACCTCGGAGGGTTTCCCCAAAAATCAAGAAAGAGGGTTATTTTACCGCGATAAAGCCTCCGAATGCCGTGTAACTGACTTAAAACCAGGTTGGCTGACACGGTCAACCTTCTCAAAAGGATAAAAAGGTGATCTTATAAAAATTTCTGCCGCTCGGAGGGTTCCCTAAAATTTGGACCCTCCGAACCAACAAATTCTAAAAAATTTTCTTTTCCGAGATTATCAACACAAGAACGGTTGCGGTCCGGAAAAACGACCAAAAACTACGACTTATGGTACCAAAATTATCCTGATCAGTTGGCTAGTCTTTGAGAAATTGACAAAAACGCGTTTGTCAAAATGGCCTTTTTTCACCACCTATATAGGTTCTGAAAAATTTTTTCCGCAATTCCTATTGAAAGTACCTAAAATTAATTGAAACGAGCGTAGTAGCCCCTTACGGCACTGGAACAACGCAAAAAACCGGACCAGAATTGGTTTGAAGACAAAAATTTGGCCAATAACTATCAAATTTGGACCCTCCGATTCCTTCCTTTTCCAATCTCTAAGTCGTTTGCTCTATCCACGGAGCTAATCGGAGGGTTACTCAAAAATTTCTCTAGTGACCGAGCACGTTATGCTAGCACGCTCCTAACGCAAAAATTTTTATTGCTCTAACTCTAAAAACTCAAAAACTCGATCTGCAAAACAAATTGACAAAATTCGAAAAATTATCAAAATCTTGATCAGAAAGTTTTTTTTAAACTTCTGCTGAGTCTTTTCTCACGCGGTTTCTTTAGTCAGGGGGATTGAACTACGTAGCAACTCCCTATATAAAAGCTTTTTGGTGTCGGAAAAGCTCGGATATCCAAAAATTTGGGGGTCTGCAGTATGGTCGAAAATCAGTAATTTTCGATAAAATTGGGTGTTTTTCAGGTCTAAATATTTGATAAGCAATATATAGTAAGGACAATAATCTATTTGTAGTCGTTAATGAATATTACTATACCCTCCTTTGCACCAAAATACCCGAATTAAGACCATTAACTCGGAAATTCGTGATCGATGGAGGGTACAATCGGAACGCGCCAACCGTGCACCCCACCTCTTAAGTTATGATGAAATAGTACCCGAACGATACTAAAATTGTTTCAACTATACCCAACAGTCGTTGTGGAGCTTGTCCTTGATTCCCCTGTTGAGTGTGGAACACGTCGGTCAGCTTGCCACTCTACCCTCCGGCCACCGGCAAGATCACCATTAACGTGCTTAAATACTCAAATTACACTCAAGGGAGGGTACCCAACCCGTCACCAAAACACACAATCTTTCTATCAGAAATAATATAAATCAATCTGAAACAACAGGAAGGTCAGATCACAACTCGTCCGGAAATAACATATAAACTGTCACTTTATGTTTTTTATTGTTTTTGGTCTTTTTTGGATTTTTTACTGTTTTTTGTTCTTTTTTATATTTCAAAAAAATTGTTTTTGGCTTTTTCTTGGTTATATACTATTTTTGTTAGTTTTACCCTTTCTCTTTAATTGTTTTTGGTCCCAAGACCTTGGGACAAGCGGGCTCATGACTCCCTACCTAACCCTCCGGCCCCCGGAATTTTCGGTGTTAACTAAGTTAAAAAGCTAAATAGTACTAGGCGGAGGTTACGCACCTTCCCCTTAGTACAATAAAGGACATTAAGGCCTCTACTTCGGGCATACGCCCGGAGCGGAGGGTTCGTCGCTGAAACGTTTGCTGATCATGATGGTCTCATGCCTTTAACATGCCTACCCAGGAGCGCCATAAAAACGTCTATGTAACATTCGCCCAAATACTACACAGCGACGGAGCGTAGAAAAAGTACCAATTAACGGCTGGCACGCGTCAGTTATAATTAGTAGCAAAAAGTTTGGACAGACAAAAATAATTAAAAAGAGCAAATGACCTTTTTCAGACCTTGTTTGCATGCAAAAGCTAAATTTTCAGACAGAAAGTATGTCTCAATGTCACCTAAAATATAAAATCTGCATGCAAAAATTGCTCCAAATTGGCAGATTGCTCCTTTTAATTATTTCTGTCTGTCCGAACTTTTTGCAACCTTCGATACCTTAACTCTACTCGTTTTTTACCGTCTCGACCTTGCCAGTTGATTTTCTGGTCTGTTTAGGGCTGAGTAAAAAGTTACTATTTTTAGGCCATCAGTCAAACGACTTTTGATCAGCTTTCGTTTACCTGCGAACACAACCCTATAGCTGAGTCTCAGATCCTCAGACTACGTGATTGCTATTAAAAACACGGCTCGAATACCCTATTTTATTATATTTTTGGTGACAGTTCTATATTAAATCCATTGGAGATGGATTGACCCTTTCCTCTTCCTAGCTACTCATGTTCTAAAATATCAAACAAACCGGTGTTATTTCAAAGTTCTATGGCATCAGAGTAGCTGAAAAGTTAGTTTACTATAGTCTTTCACCATATATCAGTCTCTGGGGGACGAAGCTTCTGCTTCCGTGTTTTCCTCGAGATAACGTCGTTATCACTCCCAATTCGTGGCACGGGAGGGTACTGCTCTCCACCGAAGCCTCCTTTCCCACTATCTTCTTCTGCTAAGGGTCTTATCGTGCGTGATCGTCACGATAAGAGGCTTCGTTTTTCTGTGTTAACGTGCGACTTTTTTCCACTATATTTGCTGTTGTTCTGACTTTTTCACCTTTTTCAGTCAAAATGGCCGTTCTTTGTATTTCTGAGAAATATCCACATGACAATCGAAATTTTGAAAATAGAAATTTCTAGAATATTTCTACCCTCCTTCGAAGCACTTTTTTGTCGTTAAGGCCTTTTCTCGCTAATTAGTGTTTCGGCGGAAGGTTGCGCTGTGCCAATCTGGCAGAATAGCACAAATTTCAAAATTTTGTCGCAGTGTTTTGAATTGTTGATTCCAAAAAGGAGCTGATTTACTCATAAAATCTAATGTAACTCGAGTAAAACTAAGCTTATATGTTATAAATTAAGCAATTGAAATAAGCTATTGTAAGCCTGCTCGCTCGCTCGAATTAAGACGAAAAACCAGAAGTTTCAAACAGGCTTTTCTCGGTACTGGTAGACTTTTTTCAAAATTTTATAGTGTCGTTCGAATCAAGGCTCTTAAGGCTTTAACATGATATATCACTCTACTCTTTTATGATTTTTTGTGGTAGCTGATTTTGCATGGAGAAAAAACAACAATCCCAAATTCAAGTTTCTTCCCTATTTTTCAAATGGCCGTAACAAAAAACTTTGACAAAATGATTTGGGACCTCCAAGTTCCATAGGAGTAATCTCCAGATCTTTCTTCATGTACTGTTTTTGATTCGAGATTTGACAGGAAAACTTCGGTTGCCGATTTCAAGCGTTTTGATAGAATGCACTAAGTTTGTCTCGCTTATACGGTGATACGTTTTATTTAACCTCAACTCTATCATTTCGTCGCTTATCACTTAGAGAGGTTAAAATTCGCCTGCTAATAATAGTGTTTGCCATTTGTTTCTTTTTTTTTGATGCGTTTTCCCGGGAGAATAGTTTTCAGTGCACCCTTGCGGCTCCAAAAGTATTTCTTCATTGACAAGTATAAAGATCTTGTAAATGATGGATATCTTTTTCAATCGCTAGCTTTTGAAATTCAGGGCGCGGCCGGCCCCAGCACAGAAGTTTTTTTGAGCAAACTTTGTAAGAACCTAAATATATGCACTGAGGAACCCAGAGCAGGCAGCTTTTTAAAACAGAGAATCTCCCTGGCAATACAGATTGCGAACGCCGCTTGCGTACTCGGAACAATAAATGACAAAATAACTTTCGACGAAATTTTTTACTTGTAACATTTGTATATACAACAAACACCGAGTTTATTTTTATATAATTACCGAGTAAACAACAAACACCGAATACAAAACAAACAACAAATGTGGGATGAACCATTGAGAATTGAAAAGAGAGGGGGAATGCACTAACAGCAAAGGAACAAAGGAGCACCAGAATTGGGAAGGCAAAAAAGTAATAAACTGCACAAGACTAGATGGCCCGACTGACAATCATAGTGGCGTTTCCTCTCATGAGGCACACTGAGAGGCTCTGGAGAAGGCGAACTGGGGCAACACGAGCGTCACGTGAACCAGAACGTCTGGCATCAGCGAGGATAGCAACTGACTTGAGGGTTTTGATAGCTAAAGCGGACCAACCCCCGAGCGTTTCGACTGCTAACGGGAAAAAACTGATTATTTGTTCCTCACAGTTTTTCTCGTGTTTCGAAAACTTGCGGTCCTCAGCAACTTCCAGGGACGCCCCGTGGGTCTCCGCCGCACGAGAGAGAAGAGATAACTGCAGCGGGGATGTCACGGTGACGTCGAAAGCAGCTGGGCGACCAGCGCTCCAAGTAGGGACAAAAATATCGCCGGGTTTGGACCGTTCGTTTGGACCGTTCGTATCGACCGGTTTGGATTTGTATATTATATTATCTCGTGTCGAGTTGCGTGTTCTTATTGAAGAAACGTAACCCGTATCGATTTTAATTGAAAAGGACCTAAACACCTGTCATCTTCTTTTATCATTATCACTTCCATATCTAAAAAATTCCAAGGATTTTGACTGGAATACATGATGAAGGGACTCATGACTGTAACCTCGGTTACTATGATACTTTTGAATTTCTTCGTTGAAGATAGAATCTCGATATGCTTCGAAATGAAACTCATTTGTTTCAGGGATATCATGGTTGCAATACGCGTTGACGAAGAGTGTCAGAAAATTTTTGATGCATATCGAATTTCACTGAACCCGCTTTCATCTAATGAAGAAAAACAGCAAGCGTTCCATTTTCTTGAGTCGTTCAAAAGCAAACCCGAACAATGCTTTTCTATCGGTTCAGTGTTAGTGTCATCAGATGATCTGTACAAGAAACTTTTAGGGTTTGAGCTGTTAATTTGTTTTGTTCAAGAAGGATGGGCTAGGAACGATTGGGACAGTGCCTCCCTCAAAGCAAAGTTTAAATGGGAAATTATCCTCTTCGTTCAAAATTACAACAATCAGTTCCACGATGATCATTTGATTCAAAACTCGATTTCGAAGCTGTTTTCAATGGTTTTTCTGCACGAATTTCCTCAAAAATGGCCAGATGTTCTTCCCACTTTGTATGAAACTATGACTGTTTCTAAAGAAAAGAAGTTGCTTGTTTTTTCAATATTTCAACGGGTTGCCGAAGAACTTATTAACTCACCGCATAAATCGATTCCTGTGAGTCGAACTAAAGACATCCGCCAATACTTAACCAGGATGCCGAACCTTGAGCCCATGTTCAAGTGCTGTCACGATGACTTCGCTGCTTCACTTCTTCGTAAAGAGCAAAATGTGCAAATTGAAGATGTTCGTGTGAGTCAAGCTTTACTAGCATGCCTTAATGAGTTAATTGGTTGGGTACCGCTAGAGCTAATAACAAAATATGGCCTGAGAGAGCAGCTTCTAAACTTTCTCAATGACTGTAATTTTCGTCTTCTGGCAGCTGACTGCATCATTTCACTTCTACAACGAAAAGGCTGTGATATAACAGAGAGGGCGTTGGCCATTTCATTTTTCAAACAAACTTCTTTACAATACTTAAATTCAGCAGTAGAGCCACTCAAGCAAGCGACAGTGAGTGAAAATGGCTACACTTTCCTGAAAAAAATGATGGAGCTCTATTCAGCGATGAACGATTATTACTCTATGGTGCAAAACAAGTTCGTAGATGAACTAAACTCAGTCCGTTCCGAGGAATATAGTCAATATTTGAGTAATATGTTCTCTCTGTCCAATTTTTCCAGTCATTTTTTGCATTTAGAAGTATTAAATATCTTTGTGGCAAATGTGAAAACAGCGTCCAAGAACCCCTACTGTTCGATGTATGCTTTACATGCGAAAAAAGTGTATGACATGGCCTTGTTCGCGTTGACTAAAGTTGGGTTCCCTTCGAAGATGAACCATGCTAGCTGTTGGTACACAGTGATTGATTTCGGAGATGACTTGGAGTTTGGCTCTTTTATTGGACAGTTACGTTCTTGTGGATGTGAATCTGTACGCAGCCTGTATGAGTTGAGTCCTAAGATGCTGGCAGATATAGTCATCGAGGATTTCACAACATCTGCTAACAAGTGGTGTTTTAGTGCGGAAAAAGACCCTTTAGAGCACCATTTTCTCGAGGCAAAATCACTAGCTTTTTGTACGTTTTTGGCGAAAATTCCATTGGATAAAGACAAAAATCCCAACTTCGAATTACATTTGCAAAAGGTTTTCACTTTCTGTCTAGATGCATGTGAAAAGGAAAAGAATGTGGTGGTTTTAAATGCTCTTCTGTCTGTAGTATCTGCGTTGTTTCATTACTGGTTTCAAAGCCAAGAAGTTTTTGTCCGTGTGATTAAACTTCTGTTCAGTTCAATGCAGCGCGAAGAATTTGAAAACAGTGAACAGGACAGGAAAGCGCATGTGGTACATAGACATGCCTCATCTTTGTTTTTGTCAAAAGTCATGGAACATCATGAGTTATTTATCCCGTTTTATAATGACTTCTATCCGATTCTGACGTCATTTTTGTTTGAAAAATCCCTAGACAAAGCCTGTAGATCTTGTATTTTGGAGTCTCTTGTTATTCTGACAAGCTATACAGAAGATCCTCTAAGATCGGAAACGCTGAAAAGTGTTTTCTTATTTGCGTTTGAAGAACTGAGTGCAATTGTTTCAGTTCGTTTCATAAGTATTGACGCTTTCATGGACTTGCTGAGTTTGCGAAATTTTAGTGGTGAAAAGATTGTAAATTGGGAAGATATGATGACTCTCAAATTCTGCAGCTGCTGTATTGGTGGTTTTATAAGGCGCATTGTAAATTGTCTAGAACAGCGAAAAGAATCAGAATCTTCTAAAAATGTTCCCCAAGTTCCTGACAAGGAAGCGTTTATAACATTCGCATCTCAAACAGCAATGCTAGCTGCTCCGATAGTAATGAATATGCTCTGTCGTTTTCATGAATTACACAATCCTGAAGTTAAAGCCTCGTTTTGTAAGGATCTGAAAGATGCCTTAGAGATGAGTATGGCTGAAAGAAAAAATATACTTGGTGTCCAAAGCGCAGTTGTTGAAGCTTTTGAGAATATTGAAAAGCAGCCTCTTGATAAGTTACAAACGTACCTCAAAGATCTACATAATACATTGCTTCAATTTTTGTGTGGCTGTACACTGCTTCTCATGTTAGAAAAGAAATGCAATTTTGAAATGATTGAAAAAATGCTGAATGTTGCCTTTTACAACTTCGACAAGGTATCGAATACGTATATTGCATCCAGTATCAAATTCTTTTTGATACCGATTAAAGATAAGTGTCCTGAAAATTTACACGGAACCGTTCTGATTCCAATTTTTAACTTTGTTTTTCCCAAAATTTTTCGGCGCCTTTCAAATGACTGGACGGTATTAACGAGTAGACCTGATTTAGTTTTACCCGGACAAAATGGTGATCAAGATGAAGAGATCCTGGAAGACTTGTTTTTGAGGCGTAACAGTCGTTCAATGATATCGATAATTGAATCTTCCTGTATAGTCCTAAATAAAGGAACCGATAATCAAGTAGACGAGGATAACAACGATTCTGAAATGAAAGACGTCGCTCCACGCGCCACGCCGACATCGCTTAAACCTCGCGAAGAGTTGAAGAACTTTGCTCATCTTCTGATTAAGAATGAGTCTCTTTACGAGACGGTATTACTTATCCTTGTCAATGCTTTTGTATGGCCAGATACACATTGCTGTAGCAAAGCTGTCAGATTGTTCTGGGCCATATTTCAGCCCATGATTGAGCAAGGAACTACAGATAGCATTATTGGGCTCATTTTTACTCAGTTACTAAAAGGCTACCAAGTGCACGAGTACTCAAACTCGTCCAGTGCTCATTTAGCCGCTTTGATATTTAAGTTTTTTGTCACTTTGCGTCCGAAACACGAAGTGCTGCGCAAGATTCTGAGTCAAGTTCCAGAAGTTAATACACACGTTTTAGATGAATTTGAAAGTCGAGTGTTCGAAACTTACAGTAGTCCTGGAAAAGACATGCCCGTTGAGAAGAAGACGAAAGATATAATGAGGAAGCTCTTAAAGGGTATTGTGGGCAGACCAGTTAGTGTGTTGTACCAGAAGAAAATTCAAGTGAATGAGTTGCCCAAGTTACCGAGAGCTGTGAAAACAGAAAGCGAAACTGAAGAGCATTTTGAGACGAATAGTCTTTACCAATTCTTCTAGATGAACCAAGAAAAAAAGAATATCAAAATTAAAAATCGTTTCATGCAAATAAATTGAAAAAAAAACTTGTTGAAACTGGCAAACGGTAGTGAATATTTGACCTTTTTAAGGTGGTAGATTAACCTCGGAGAGTTGATTAATAAATTATAGATATTATTGGAAGTTTTTCATCATGGCATGAAAAAACGGCGTGTGTTGATTTCCAATGTTTTAATGACGTTAGATTCATTTTTTCTAAATACAGATTTTCCGTTGTGTTCTGTAAAAAGTATCACTTTTACTTAAAGAATAAATTAATTTGCCTTCTTTCTACACATAATTCAAATAAAAAGAAGGATAGCCGGTTGCTGTGCTAGAAGCACAGAATGTTCCGACCATAATCATAAAAAAAAAACGTTTTTTTAAAATTTTCTTCAAAATAGTGTCGTTTTTAGTGGATAGTGAGATTCGAGAAATAGAATCGCGCAGAAAGGTAGTGAATTAGGCTTGATCGACGACTATTGTCTTCAAAAGATGAATAAAAACTTAACTTTTTGCACAATGATTTTAAATTGTTTTCTGAAAACTCTTTTCTGTCAAACAAGCGTTACCCGATCGCGTTACTAGCTCGAAATTGAAAAAAAAAAATTTCAAACCGGTTTTTCACGACAGAGGGAAACATTTTTGGAATTTTTTCAATTTTCAAATCACCACTGAAAGGGCTTTAATGTGATATATCATTCAATTTACTCCGATGATTATTTGTGTAGTAATTTGCGCGGAAAACCCAAAAAGAAAAAAATTAAAATCAAATTCACACCCGAATACAAAATTCCTCCCCATTTTCAATGGTCGGAACAATGATATTGATTGAGAAACTACATTCAATTTAATGAAAACTGATCAATTTAATGAAACTGATCTGATATCAAAATTCGTATGCTCTAATTTCAGATACTTACCATTCATTTAAAAACTTGACGGACTTACCTAGACTCGGAGTTTTGGCTTCATCGCTTTTAACCAGTCGATGTGGGAACTCTTTTGTTCATAATAACGCAGTACGTTCTCCAAGAGGATCGATCATTCCTAAGGTAACTAACAATGCCGGACCTAGAGAGCAACCAGAAACCCGAGCAAGGCGGAGCAAATGACGTCACATGGGGTTTCAAAATTCTCGGAAGAATAATAGGAACCTTAGCTGCTGCAGGTATGTGAGGCTCGAAACAGTCAAATTTAGATCTGGACCAGCTAGCGTAAATTTTTTTCTACAGGCATTAGTTATCACTTAAGTTCAGCAAAAACAAACAAATTGTTCTTAGAAAATTGGTCAATTGCGTGGATCATTAGTTTGAATCAAAATTATCCTCACAAACATGGATTTGTGGTGGAAAAAAGCACAAAGAAAAACAGGCTCACAACATATCGTGACAATTATTATAGATGATAATAGTTCGAGCTCAAAATAAATTTTTCGGTAAACACAAAGCACTAGTTGAATATTATCAAGATATCAATAGCTCTCCTTAAATTTGCCAATTTGTTGAAGCGTTAAGTGAACACCAGATTGATTATCGCAAATGATGTATAACTTTGCGATAAGCAAGCGCGTTGGAACCGGTTTTAAGACTTTTCACCGTAAACAACTTTTTCACAGAAATGGTATTTTTATCACCATTTCGTCGTATTTTAAGCAAAATAATGACTTGTATTGCCTGCATATGTGACTTAGCTGCACGCTAAGAGTTAAAATGTAAGTTTTATTGGTGCCAAAAATTGTCGGCGCTGAGGTCGGTCGGCTGTAATTTTGTCAGTATATTTTCCTAATGGTTCATTTCTATTTATTTTTGTTGGTATTATTTGACAGCGATTGATTGAACTATTAGAAAAGCTTGATGAATTTGTGTTTTTTGGCGGTTACTTTTTGTTATGCGATTAGCTGTAATTATTACGCTTGCAATTAGCAAATATTAACAAGTCGTATGAAAAACTTGTTTAACAAAATCACTGAACCATTTGCTCAGTTTACATAAATGTTACATCAGTTTGAAGTTGATACGACAACCTTTGAGCTTGAGACTTCGAAAAATGTGGGTCGATAGTGTCTTGGAGCAGATCTTTTTTATGAAATGTTATTGAGAAATTTAATTATTGTAATTTTGTTTGTCTGCTTTTTTGTCAGCTTCCTTCAACATCATGCTATTGCTTTGGACTGAAACAAGTTTCAAGTTTTGCTGGAATTGAAATAACTTTTGATTCCGTCTTGTAATTTTCAAGTTTGCTCTCTTTTTTTGTATCAAACCCTTTTTTTTTATCTTTTTAAACGTTTTTTCGGTAATTCTTTACTCGGCTTAAATGGTATCGGAAATAGTGATAATTTATATCACTCAGTCACTTTATATTTGATCGTTTCAAGGACAAGAGCTTTTTGGGCTTTTGTGTTTCAGGAAGGTGTAAATCTTCGAGTCGCTTAACTTAGTAGCCCAAAATGTTTTGTTGAATTTTTTGGCTCAATGATCGTGTACCCAAATTTTGTCTGCTTACGTGGCGCTTGATTAGCAAGCGTTATCAAATCGGATGTAGACTTTTTTTCGGGTTAACAACTAATTTAACAAAATCAGAAATTCTTTATCCAAGTTCAATTAGTACTGGTCATATAGGCGATTTTGATAATGCTATGTAGCTGATGTGCTGTTCCATCAAATTTCAAACTTAACTACTGTCTGGGTACTAGTTACTACGGGGTAATTTCAAGAGACTTGAAACTTTACGACAATTTTTTTTTCGGCTCAACTGGTGTCTATTCGAAAATTGTCGGCCTTGTTTCCGCTTCGTAAGTTTTGTTCACTTGCTGATTTGAGTTTGACTGTCTTGCTGGGTATGTTTGCCTGGAGTTCTTGTCTGATAAAAAAGGGGATTATGTAATTGTATGGGATTGGGTTTTTGTTTTATTTTTTTTGAGACGCTTTGGAAAGTTTTGCCACTTTTTGTAAACCGATTTTCAAAAAAGGTTTATCCATAGAAAGACCTCTTACACTCTTGTGTGCCTGCTTTCCCCTGGTATCTGTTTGTTTTACGCCTCTGTCTACAGCTTTTAAAAATGTCTGTGTGGGAAATTTTTTTGTTTTCCTGAAAACTGCCCTTCTCAAACTTGAGTTTTTGGTTTCAATGAATAGAACCATTTTGAAAAGCTGAAAAAGTGGCTCACCTACAAAGAGGCTACGCCCAATTTTTTCACACATGAAGTTATGGCCCTCGTAATTGTCAAATTTTTGAGTTATGATCGATTTTTTAATTTTTTTTTCGACTGATATTTTGTGTTCAATGGAAGTAACCGGTAGTCGGAAGCATTCTTGCATTAGCCGCCACTCCTAAAAGTTTTTACCGAAAAGTTATCGACCTGGGAAAAGTCATTCAAAATTTTCTAGACAAAAAAATTTCAAAAAAATTGCTTCAAGTTTTTTTGATTTACTTTGCTGTTTGTAGTTTTACTTATCTTGGCTTCGTATATTCTCTTTTTTGTCTTTTTCTTTGGCGCTTAAAAACTTTATTCTGCCCAAATGAATCATGTTTTATCGGCTTAGTGACCTAAGTTTCAGGGATCATGTTTTATCGGCTTAGTGACCTAAGTTTCAGTCGTCTCAAGAGAAACGTAGTTTTCATGCTTGCCTCTGGATCGCAAAAAATGCTTAAAATCTTAGAATAGAAACTGTACTCAAAGTTTTTCATGACAACAATTTTGTTTTGTTTTATGGGAAATTTTCCGGCTCACTTGTTGCTCCATGTTTTCGAATTATCATTAAACGCCCGTTTGATTGTCTTTCTTGAAGAGTTTTCTGCAAATGGACTCCAGACAAAATCTTGAAGTTTTAGTTATGGTTTTTCGAAGTTTTTTGATTTTTTGGACTTAGTTAGTGACTATCCTTTTCTTTCCTGTTTGCTAGCTTGCAATGCTTTTTTATGCATACGTTGTGAAGACGCTTATATAGGTGGTGATGATTCTTTTGTTTTTCAGGAAAAATCTGAAAAGTTTTAAAACACTCAAATTTAATTTTTTTGTTCGACTTTTGATTTTTTCGAAATTTCAGCTCATTTTTTGTTACAAGGAATGTGAGTTCCTTTTTTGAACAACAAAAGTGTAAAGGTCGCGAAAAACGTGACCGACTTCTAGTTTTGAAAGTAGATTTTAATTTTACTTTCTTGAGTTCCCAGCGGAACAAAAAGTTCACGTATTGATCCAGTTTCCTAAAAATGGTTAATTTTATCAAAAAACTCATTCAAAAATTGTACAATTTATTTTTAAAGTGCATCGAGGCCATTTATTCGTTTCTCTTCAGCTCTGCTAGATTTTTCAAAAAAAGTCACTATTTTCTTTTTAATTGTGTTCATTGACTCTTCAAGTGTCTCTTGACTATGTTCCTTAATTTAAGTTATGATCAAAAGTCAATCGAAAATTGCGTTTGCTAAAACAAAATGCTATATTACGAATGATGCCATGTTTTGTTTGTTTTTGAAAAATTGAACAAGCTACCGAATACGTATTTTAAACATGATTTTTGAAAATAATTTCTGTTTTAGCGATGATTATTCTCGGTTTGATGACTATGATAGGCTTCAGTGGTTCATGCCTGTTAGCTGGGATTCTTATGATGTGAGTATTGTTGCGTCAACTACTAACGGTTATTAGTCGTCTGTAACCATTTGAAGTAATCATTTCAATCCAACTTCAAATATGGCAAGAGCGGGTTGCTAATGTGATTGTTTTAGGGCTTTCGGTGGCTTGGTTATAATGATTGAGGCGCCAATCTTTTGCCAATACTTCCAATGGGCAGAAATGGTTACTCAGTTTGTAGACAACAGGCCCTATTTCCTGCGCGCAGGACTCTACTTGATGTAAGTGCTTTCTAGTCGTCTCTCATTACACTAATTAAAAGACTGTTCTCTTTGTTCATCTGTGTTCAAAACAGAAAGAGGGAACAAATTGGGTTTTGAAAATTAGTTTATGACAAAAAAAGTCATGTCCGGTTTTGTCATAAATAGATTTTGGTTTTCTTTTTATTCATTGGTATGATTAAAGAGCAGAACTTTAAAAGGTAACTAATTATTTGTTGGGTTAACTCATTGACACTACCTGTGAACCGATGATTCAATCAGTAAATACCTTTGCGAAAGCCACAATCAATAGCTAGCGTTGTGAAAGTATCCGGTTGCAGCACAAATACCAAATGTTATTTCAACCCTTTGAAGTTGCACCTAATAGCACATAATCTCTGTAATTTAAAGGATCGCAAGCACCCTCGAAGTTTCTTTTTTTTCTTAAAAACTCTTAGTTTATATAGATCATAGTAGTTTTCCTGTTCTCTGAACAAAATCAGAGAATGGTTTCGAAAGCCGAATTTGGACAGATGTCAATCAATTGAATAAAAAGTGTATGGAGGATTGGGTCTAAAATTTTCTCACTTACTAGATTTTTGCGTGAGCAAGTGGCTTGTAGAAGGGAACTATACTTTTTTTCCGGTAAACAACTTTTCTTTCAAATTCTGCTGACAGGTTTACTCTTGCGATAAACAAGGGTATTGCAATCGGGTACTAGACTTTTTTCCCCAACAACAACTTTGTCCACAACGACTCCTGGTGTACCTTAGTTCATAACCAATTCGAATTTCTTACTGTCTCCTGTGCATTTAGCCTGGAGGTAACGAATGCGCCTGGAAAGGCAAAGGTCTGAGGTTCGAATTTTTTTAAAAGGTAAAAATTCCGGCCGACCCAAAATCCCCCTTTCGTACTTTTTAAGAAATCCATTCTTGGCCGACCGACCATAAAATTTTTCTAAAGGCGCCTTTGGCGCCAAGATATAGTAATTATTTTTTGGTCAAAATTTTCCAAAAAGTGCCTAAAAACGCTTTTTTTGGACTGTTTTTTTTCAAAATTTTGCCTGCGGCGCAGAAAATTTGGCCAAAATAGGGACTAAAACGTGCTTAGGGAGAGCTCAAAAAATCAAGTCAGTCGATCTAAAAAAAGTTCGACAAAATTTTCGAAAGTTTTTGAAAATCCGCCCCCCCCTCTCGAGAAAATTCTAGATCCGCCCCTGATTCAAACAGTTTTTACTATTTTTGAAAGTTGTTATGTTTGTTTTACAGCATAAATTTTTCTATGACTTGAGTTTCGTTTTCGGCTTAGCGAAGGTCGACCCAATTTTTTTTGCATCGGTCATTCATTATCAATGCTATTTAATGATATTTATGAATATCATTTGAGACAAAGGTATGATTTTTGTAGATGTACTTTTTTGGATTTTTTCTTTTCTTTCTTTCTTAATTTTTCAAAATAATGACTTCCTTTTTTTATTCAATGCCTTGCAATGCAATGTTTTAATTGTATGGCAAGTGTTGCAAAGCTCCTTTTTGCATCTATTTGAAAAATTGTTTTGATTTTCAGAAACGCCAAAAATGTTTTGAATATAAAATGCATTTTTCAATCAGCACTCCCCTCAAAAATAGCGCTTTAATTTTTAGTGTTTCCATCAAAAATGGATATTAGAAAATAGTACTAATGGTGGATCTTTTGTGCAGTATGGCCAGGAGTTCGAATCCCTGAGGAACGGATGCGTCCCTCCCTAAATCCAATGTTCACTGTATGAATTGCATCTCATTAATTCGAATTAATTGAATTCATCTCCACATTTACGAGGGAAATGACAACTGTTTACTTAATGCAATGCGTGTAATTTTGTGTGTTTCAGACTATCAGTAATTCCCTTCGCTCTCTGTCAATCAGTGTCCTCATTCTTGGGCTGTGGCGCCATGTTCGTAGCTGGCACCTTCTACGGAGTCATCGCAGTCGGCAAAAAGTAAGACCCCTCTATCGCGCTCTATTTTTCACTCCCCGAAATTTCATTTTCTGGTTAGATGAAGATTACTTAACCCGGTTGGTAACGATCCGTTTTTTTGCGAGATGAGGTAATTTACACACTTATTGCTAGTAATCGCCGTAATAGACAAGAAAAAAGTTTCGAGTTGCTTATTTTATTACGATCGAATCGAAAATACGAATTTTGATTTTTTTAAGTTCACTTCATTTCCTTTGTTGAAAATAAGGCAAGCTCCCTTACCGAACAGCTAAAGGATTTTTTTAAGTTCACTTCATTTCCTTTGTTGAAAATAAGGCAAGCTCTCTTACCGAACAGCTAAAGTGTACGAAAAACGAGATCGACTTTTCGTTTCGAAAATCAATTTTTTTTTTCAGTTTTCTAAGCGAAAAAAAAAGTTTTTCCTATTGATCCAGTTTTCTCAAATTACTCAGAAAAATTTTATCATAAAAAGTGCCACCATTATTTGTTCTAGAAATTCAAAGACCATTAATGGCATCTAATTTTTTCTCTGTAATTCTTTCATTGGCTTTTTTCAACTGAGTGTTGGCTATGTTCAACATTTTTTAAACTGCCACAATTGAAACCGTATGAGTATTTGCTTTAATGACGAAGCTAGAATGAATGGCTTAGATTCTGACTGCAAGTTCATTTTTTTTCATGTAGTTTGACTTTGTATCGTCATTATTAAAGAGAACATCCTTGAATTAAAGGGAGCATGCGATAGCGTAGATTGAAATGAAATGTCAGTTATCGTCGTTCGACCTGAAATTAACGTCTTCTGCTCCATTGAAGCATCACTAGTTAAAACAAAATCCTGATTTTACGGATCGCTTAAACCGCCTAACTAATCAGTTGTTAGCATTTTCTTAGAAACCAATAAGTTTTCTCTTTTGATGAGAAATCAAATTCAATAACCAAATTTTTTCATGGCAACTACAAAGCGAAGACTTAACCGTGCAATTGAAGAGATTGCTTTGAAGTCACATGTTTATTGGTGCGTGACAGTTTTTGAAAGTTCAATATTTAACTTGAATCTAAAAATAGGGTTTTCGGTTGAACTAAGATCGCGTAATCTTCATCAATTGTGCCCAAATATGTCACTTCACTTGGACATGGTATATTCATCAGCTATTTTAGGTAGTATTTCAATTTACAGTATCACGCGTCACGCCGTACACACAGCAATATCTGTGTGTAATTTTTAATCGACAGATAAGCTCTGTTAATCAGATTGATAACTGATTTAGGATCCGAATTAGAAGCTATTTTTTATCAAATTCCAGCTAATCCATCCATTTTTGAATAATTCTAAAAAGCAAATAAAATATACAAATTGCCTTTGAATTGCAATAGGAAAAAAGATAAATTGGAAATTGAATTCAATACATGGAACCCTAATTGCGTGAATAGGAACCGCACAAAACTGCTGAATATTTCGGATCGGAAGGGCCGTACATCACATAGATTTAAATTCAGCATTTAAATCAGTTGATTGCGCGAAGTTAAGTTCTGTAATAGACCTAGGGAGCAAATCCAAGTGGGGACAGATATTTTTATGTACTGCCAAGTTTTCAACCCAGGTTAAGTTAAACGTTTTTGTCCTAGGGGAGAGAAAATCTCATACACTGACAAAAACTCATCCGGAGGCTATATACCTCTGATAGACCACCAATGATCCCTCCTACCGTTTGTAGAATTACTACTCAATTGGTACTGTTTCTGATCTACGTTTTGTATATAAACTATTCTCTGTCTCTATCCGTTACTTCGCAGAAACAAACATCCTGTCTGCTGGATTGATGTGCAGTGTTTTTAAACGCAATTCTATTGAAATTACGTTGCAAATTTTTGACCGTCGATTTATTTTCCCAATTTAATAATGTATTCATACGCAAAATTTCTAGTTGTAATGATCATTCATTAATAAAGACAGGAAAAACGTCGACGGTCAGATTATTTAAACATTCAGTTGTATTGATGAGTGTTATACGACGACCCTAAAACAAACAAGCTGTGGATATTAAATAGTCTAAATATAGCAACTTGATGAAGTTGCCCAACGATCTTGGGTTGATCAAGTTTGATTTTCAAGCCTAACCAATACGGTTCGGTCAAACTGAACGCTTCTTCGCCTTTTTTGACTAAAATCAATACAACGATTAAATTTTGAGTGGGAGTTCATTCCGTTATGTGATGTTGAATGTTAAGGATGAGGGTTCTGGGTTGGTTTCTTAGTTAAATTTAGGATCTTGTAAACTTTTACTCAGAGGCACTTAGCATTGAGATCGTCAGACCGTGTAATCGATCCCCTGCCATGGCAATGATAGTGTGCGAGGACGAGCTGTCACTTGACCTCTAGCTTCAGGTCTACCACAGCCTGACCGATTACGGCGGTAATAGTGTTACCACTTTAAAGCTCTAGACGCAAAAAAAACAGCCTTGAGTCGAAAAAAAGAGCTTACCTCAACAAAATAACTGAGTCTGGAGTGTGGGGAAATAAGAAAAACGGACTATGCTTAGACAGGCTAGAAAAAGCCTTTCATAGATCCTCTGCGAATCGCAGAAACCACTCATCATTACTCCCCGTTTTGGGGGCGATTCGTTAGAAATACAAAATTTGTATATACTTAGCTGTTGAATTCTTACTTTATACGGGTGGTAATTAGGCACTGGGTACTATAGGGGGCGGAGTTAACTCTGTCGTAAAATTTCAGAATACGAAGCTGAAGAGTTTTTTGGTATCATATTTAGATCCTTTTAAATGGTTTCGATCGTATACTTAGTACAATGCTCTGCAGATGTGAGCAGGTCGCGTTTCTAAACCGTATGTTAGCAGCAAACGTAATTTGGGCGACTCAGCATAACTTGAGCCAAGTAGGTTCAAAATGGTTCTTTTCTGATAATCTCTGTTGTGTGTAAATGAAATGACCAATTTTTGATTACTATAATGAAAGTGACATCTATGTTGCAGAGGAGATGCAGTTAAGGCTGCCACAGCTGCACATGGTGGTGCAGGTTACCAACCACAAGTGAACAACGACGACTCCACCCTCAGGTGAACCAACACTCAAAAAAAGAAACCAGCAGAAACGAAACAAATGCACCCAAACTTCACTAAGGAAAAAGAACCAAACCAATAACGACCGATGCACATGTTAAATGGTTCTACTGTCTTACTGCGTGTTTCGAGGCAGATCTAGATGTCAGGGACTCTAATTTGATCGAACATTTTATGGTTTAAGTAAATTGCCACCCACTTGCTTTGAAACTGCCATTCGTCATTTCAAATTTTGATTATTATTGATGCATAATTGGTGAGTGGTTTAAGAGGTAAGTATTTGCATTATCCTGTTGTTAGAATGAAACTCGGCAGTTTTTCGAGATAAAATTGTCTCTGTAGAACTGAATTTTTTGAATTTTTGCTGACCATCGCTTAAAGCCACCATTATAAGAGTTTCAAATTATCATCATTTCATTGGCATTGGTTTGATGTTGATAAAATCTATTTAGTGATCTTTGAACTTGAGGCGTGAAATGTAAGCATGCATATTGTAAATATAAATACTGGGCACATTGTAATTAATTATTTGTTCGATATAATTGTTGATGTTATTTAGCCTGAAAATTATCGAAACGTGGCAGTGCAGGTTAAGCGTGTCTCATGTTTCAAGTGCTGAGCTGAATGAAATGGAATACCCTTAAATAAAAGCCCAAATTTTACACTGTCGCAAAATAATCGTTCTACTTGAATTGCCTTTTTTGCGAAAATTGGCTCAGCTTTACTAATGTATCCTATTAGCAACTATAAAATCTCACAAAGTTGTGAATTAAAAGGTTCAAGTATTTAAGAAAGACCATAGGCTGAAATTCAGCGCAACAGAATTGTCGATGATGCAAAGATGTACTTCAAATTAGATGTAGTTCGTTTTTCTGTATTTTGTGATATAAATTATAAGTGATGCTCAACGAATGTCTATATACGAATACTTTAATTGTTGATTAAATGAGATTTAATAAGTAATGTGCATAATGCACCCTCCCTTACCTCCTGCTCCCTTGTGACCTCATACTCATTTTGTGCTGTCCATGTTCCCTGTTGTATGTAAATTTGGATAAACTCACTTTTCAATTTTACTTACGCGCCTCCTATTCATCGAATAGACTGGGTTTTAGTTGGCTGGTTCATGTTTACGAAATAATTTATTGTAGCTTATTTGAAATTATGGAGACCATTTGTACCCTTAAATTCAATTATGGAAAATTTATTCTTCTCGTTTCCTTGACAGCATCTATTTTTTGCATAGCTGAGAATTTTCTCAAAATGGCAAAAAAAAGTCAATCCCTTATCTTTGTTGCGCGCATTTCAAAGCAAATCACTGATCATTTACATCGGCGTTGCAGAACGAATTTTATTTGATTTTTGGTTTTTTATTTAAGATAGAAATGAAAATTTTGGTTCTGCGAAGATTTCGTACATTTTTTAAGAGTCGATGAGAGTAGTTCAGGCACTTATATAGGTCGCGAGTTTTTTAAATTTTTTTCCCATGAAAAGTCTATTAACAAACGAAGTACATTGATACTTATAAATGCACATGAATTCCCTTAGTTATATATGCACTTTTTCAGTCCAATTCAAGTTTATTTACTAGAAGGTAGGTAAAATGCACTCTAGAATTATGAAAAGCTGAAAAAACGTTAGCGAGTTCTAGTTTCTAAAATGGAATTTATTTTGTAGTTTTCCCCCGGAATAAAAACTTTTCAGAATAATCCATATTTCTTAACTTGGGATAATTTTATCCAAAAATTGCCAATTGTAAATTAATTTTGAATTTCAAAGAGCTTTGATGCCAAACAATTTTTTGTTTTAAATTAAAAAATTTTTCAAAGAACTTGTTGATTTTTTCTGGTTTTTTTTGCGTTCATTGACTCTTTTCCCAATGTCTGTTGGCTATGGTTATTTTTGTAGACAGAGAAGTCAAAGATGTCTGTTATGTTGATTAGTCTTATAAGTTCAAAACTAGCGATCTGGGACTTTTTTTCCGGTGAATAAATTTTTTCACAGGATGACTGAAATTGTGGCCACCTCAACCTCTATCTTGTCATTGGATTTTTTTCGTAATGAATGCAAATCATCAGACTGCGTTATGTCAAAAATTTCAAGGGTAATGAATGCAGTGAAGACTCTTAAATAGATCTTGGCGATGTTTTATTTTGCTTTTTTTCAAAGTCAACGTCTTAAAATGTGTTAACAACCACAGAAATGCATTCAAAAACAAATGCCTGAACAAAAACACTTTGGTACTTTGTTCAAGCTCAATCTTTATTTTTCGCGGCTTGACTTTGGATTTTTCCATTTCAATAGCTCACTTCAGTTCCTTTGTTCAAAGAAACGAGAACTCCTTTATCGAGCAGCGAAAATGTACAGGCCACGAAAAGCATGGTCGACTCCTATTTTCGAAAGTGTAGTTAAAAGTTCAGATTTCCCAGCGGAATTTTAAAAACCTATTGATACACGTTTCTCAAGTTTATTTTCTTCTAGGAAACTATAATCATAAGTTTTTCTCGCTAATCAAAGAAGTTTTAGGGCATCAATTTCTTCTTTAAAACTCATAAATTCGGTCAGACAAAGTTGACCGAAAAGTTTTTTCAAAATTCAGGTCAGACAAAGTTGTTTTTGTTCAGATTTTTCAAGAAAAACACTTTTCTCGGAGCAACCTGTGTCTGCTCGAGAATTTTTGGCGTTAATATCATTGCTTTAGTTTTGTTTCTAGGTTAATTTAAAATTCAATTGTCTTATTTCTGGGCATATTTTAAGAAACGAATTTTTATTCAAAACAAAATCAAAATTATGTAGATTTTTGGTAGTGCATTTTTTCGATAAATTTCTACGGTTTACATCTCTTAATTTTTTGGTTATTTTTTATACCAGCTGCTTGAATTTCCAGTGAATTGCAAAATGCATTTTGTCACATAGTTTCTTAAAATGCATTAAATTAGCTATCAAAAAAACTCACAAAATTTTCTGGAAACTGCATTAGGAAAATTGGTTCCAAAATTCAATAACGTATAGGGACATTCTTTTTGATCGCCTTTGTGAAGTCTAGATCAGTATTGGTAATAAGTTTAAAAATAACTTCAAATAACAATAAGACTACATAATAAAAATTGCAACGTATTTCAAATAATTTAATATGATTCAGCTTGAGGAAATATAATTTTAAAAAACTGAGGGAATGGTTCAATTCAAAAAAAAATAACAGAAATCGAAAGCAGACTTCAATAAAAAAAAAATCATTTGGATTCATTTGCTTAAAAATAATCAATTTCAAATTGAACTCAGCTGTCTTTTTTGGAATGCGTAGGATAATTAAGGGAAAAGTCTTATAAATTCACATTGAGTTGACTTTTGGCAGCTTTTTTATTTCGTTTTAGCTTAGAAATTCATTTATTTTGAGTTCAATTTTATCAGTTAGAAGCAAGTAAATCACTCGTTCGAGACAAAATTCGGCACATTTAAACTTCAAATTATAAAAACAAGGAGCTTTATCCGTACTTCAATGATTCCCATTTGAACCAAGTAAACGCTTCACAGATCAATTGATGATTCAAATCAGCAATTGCTGAAAAGTATCTTTTTTGAATTGGATTTCTGTGAGGATTCCTGCTTATTCATCTGAGCACCATAAGTAAAAAAACGTGCTATGAAAGTGAACATACCAGAATTAAAAACTCTCTGAAAATTTTTGAATAGTTTTTCATTCGATCAGTTAAAAAAATTGAAATTTTCAAAACGGAAAAATTTAGATAACCGAGTTGCAAAAAACAAGTTGGCCTAAAACAGATAAGCACGGAAATACTGTAACTTCGAAAAATTTTAAACCAAGTTTTGATTTTGAGTGAAGTAGATTTGTCGAATCTAAAACGCGGAAATTTTTGATATGAATAAAGTTCATCTGAAAAATTCGGCTGAAGAAACAGTTAGATTCTAATGAAATGTTTTAACAACAATTCTTCCAACAAGTTTTCAATTTTTGCCAATTTTGAGATAACTGTCTTGATCATTTTTGACGAAATTTGGTCAAATTTTGTTTTGGAAACTTCCTGTTCAATTTTGTTGAAAGAAATATTTCAAGTAATATTCGTCTACCTTAAAAAATTACGAATGGTCATGTGGGGTATCTTTTTATTGAAAAAAAATTTTCTAAGGAAAAAGTCTTCAAAATTCAAACTAATTTGAGTTTTGTTGCTTGTTCTTTATTTTTGTTTGAGTTCAGTGAAATTCCATAAGTTGGGAGGAAGAAAATGTGGTTCTCCAATAGTAAAAGTGAAAATAGCGCAAAAAAACATGAGTTATGGTTTTTTCAAAAATTTTTAAATTGTAGTAGCGGATTTGAGCGGGACGCCTGCCCCATAGTTATTCGAATCCCTCACAACCCAAGGCGTCCCCCTAAGCTACAATTTTAGAATTTGAGGTTTTTGCTGACTGACCGCATCTGCCTTTAGCGTTAATATATACTTATTTTGAAGGAAGAGCGCGCTTCAAAAACTTTTCGCCTGTGACTCAATAACTGTTCGCCTGTTTAATAATTGGTCAAAGTACGGTCTTTATCAGAATTAGGAGCAGTTTGCAATTACAGTTTTTTGATTCTATAAAAGTCCGATGCTTTTTGGAAAAAAATCAACCAGATTCTTTGAAACCGATAAGATTTAACGTAATGTTTTTTTCAGAAACCGAACAATGAATGATTTCATATTTAACTTTTTTGAATTGTTATAAACTTTTCTAACTTTGTTGGCTATGTTCTATAAGTAAAAATATCAGTTAAATAGACACTCTATAATAAAAAATGATTCAGCTAGTAAATCACACAGATGAGACAAAAATTTGGAACACTTAAGATTCAGTTTACGAAAAGAAGGAGCTTACGAAAAGAAGGATCCATATTTTAATATTTACACTGTCAGACATATAACGCGTCAGAAGTCAGTTATTTAATCAATTTTTAGCTCAAATGTAGCTAACTTGATATGGATTTCTGTAAGCATTTCACCTCTTTTATCTGAAAAACATAGCCATAGAATGTGCTATAAAAATAACTATAACAAAATCAGTTTAAAAAAAAGGTTTTGACAAGTTGTAATTCAATAGGCCAATTAAAAGTGGATAACTAATCAAAGCAGAAACTTCTATCCAACTGCAATTCAATAAAATGTTGACCTAAAATGTAGGCACTGATACAATGTAATTTTGAAAGTAATAATGCCAAGCATGGATTTTGAGTATTGTAGATTTGCCGAATCTGTAACGCGGAAATTTTTGAAAAAAAATCACCTGAAATATCTGGCTGAAGAAGCAGTTAAATTCTAATAAAATATTTTAATAACAAGACTTCCAACAAGTTTTCAAATGGTGCCGATTTTGAAATAAGTGTCTGGAGCATATTTGACGAACTTCTGTTAAAACTTGTTTTCGAAACTTCCTGTTCAATTTTTTTGTAAGGAAGATACGATGCCGTATTCGTCAATTTTTCAATTGATCTTGGTCTATCTTAAAATGAATTTCCGTGCAGATGGTCATGTGGGGTATCTTTTTTTTGAAAAAGTTTTTTTAAGGGAAAAGTTATATTTACTTACGCTGATATGAATTTGGGGTTATTCAATAATAAAAGTGACAATGGCGTGAAAAATTGCCAACGATTTAGCTGCAAAAATGTACTTTCATGTAGTAGTAGATTCAGGCGGGACGCCTGCCTTTTATGTATTCGACCCCCTGACATCGCATATGGTTCTTTTTGCTAATTTTTAAAAAAAATTCTTTTCACCCTCAATCTTTTCTAAAGCTGCATTTGGCGTTATCAGATATTAAATTTAAGGGAAAGTTGCGCGTTGAAAAAGATCACTTGCAACGCAGAATAATTGGTCAAAATGAGGTCTTTATCATGGTTGGAAAGAGCTAGCCATTACTATTTGGCCGAGCTGAATAAAGGTCGACTACTTTGGAAAACATTTTGAAAAATCGCCCCCTCAAAAATCATTTTTTTTTGAATTTTAAGAAATCATTCAATTATCTATTTGATTCATTTTTTCAATATTTTAGTTCGCTTGGGTCCACGTTTTACATAACTAGCAGAGTCTGCACATAGCTGGCCAATTTCTCCTCATTGTAGAACATCCGTAAATATTTCTCTAGGGTAAGAAATCATGGTCTGAGCCAAGACTCCTCCACTTGGTCCATGTGCCTCGGAAGCACACACTCGAAGCACGG